TCTTCAGTGAAAGAGTGGCCAAGCATTGGACCAGGCTGCCCAGAGAGGTGGTGGAGTCCCCATCCCTGGAGGGGTTCAAAAACCGGGCAGAGGTGGCACTTTGGGCCATGGTTTAGTGGGCATGGGGGTGTTGGGTTGATGGTTGGACTGATGATCTTAGAGATCCTTTCCAACCTTAGTGATTCCTAGTTTTACTTTCATTAAAAATAATCCATCCCCCAAGCCAGGAAACATGAAATTATGACTCTGCCCTTAACTGGTTTAGTGGTGGCCTTGGCAGTGTTAGGTTAACAGTTGGACTGGATGATCTTAAAGGGCTTTTCCAACGTAAACGATTCCATGATTCTATGATTATGCACTTACGGAAGACTGCAGTTGGAGGAGCTTTGTAACTTGGTGATGCTCCTGTTTCTGCTGGGAATGGGGTGGTCCCAGGCCTGGGAGGAAGGGCCCTGGAGCCAGGGTCGTATTATATGGTTTTTACAGTGATGTTTTGTGGATCTGGTCCTTGTAGCCCCTGATGTATGGTGATATGGACAAGAGGAAATAGGCTCAAGCTGCTCCAGGAGAGGTTTAGATTGGATATTAGGAAAAATTTCTTCACGGAAAAGGTAGTCAAGCACTGGAACAGGCTGCCCAGAGAGGTGGGGGAGTCCCCATCCCTGGAGGGGCTCAAAAAACGGGCAGAGGTGGCACTTTGGGCCATGGTTTAGTCTGGTCTACCCTTGATTGGTTTAGTGTGGACTTGGCAGTGTAGGTTAATGGTTGGACTGGATGATCTTAAAGGTCTTTTCCAACATAAATGATTCTATGATTCTATAATTCTATATACTGAATATTTCTAGTTGAAGTAATGCTTACCTTACGCGCTGCTTCCCCACAGCGTTGCCAGGTCTTACCGGTCCAGAACCAGTTCCTTACGTGTTAGCTAAATGCAGCGATGTATTTTTACTTGCAGGAAAAAGCTCCCCTGGATTTTTTTGCCTGTGCTGCCTCTGCAATGCTGGCTTCACACTTTTCCTTTTCTGCAAATCCTGCTCTTTTCATGAGGATCTGCACTTAATTTTAAGGGACAGTTAATGTTATTTGTCATGACTTTGTAGGGAACATGCTGGGTCGTAGCAAGAGTAACGGCACCGGGGCAGCTTGCCAGCTCGGCGTTCCCACCCTCATTTGTACAATGTTTGTTTTGTTTTAAAGGAAAAACATATTTGTCCCCGTTTGGTCTCCCTCTGGCCTGCTCCCCCGTACCCTGCCGCAGCGCTGAGATCACAGACCACAGGACATTTTCGTGGTCACCTCTGCTTTCCCTGGCAGGTAGTTGTGTGAGAGAAGAGACCTTGGCCGGTCGCCTGCTCGCGGATCGTCGCACTTTGTACCACGGCTGTGTTTGCTGTTTGAGTTAATGACCGCTGCCTCGCACGCTCCATTACTAGTTCTCTCCTGCAAATATTTTGCTTTCCCTTACGAAATGGCCAGCGGTGA